TTTGGGAGTAAGGATAGGAGCAGAACTTGAGGCTGTGATTGGAGAACAGTCGAATTGGTGTTTTGGAAGGATGGGATCGGATGGGCTGAAGGCCTTCTTCATCCAAGCTAATCTTGAGATCTTCTGAAGGGCAATTTCTGGGTTGTGGCATTCTCAATGGAGGAACGGAGGGATCTGTTAAAGACACCGTGGTACTATCAAAGGGAGTTTCTCCCAGTGTCGGGGTCAACAATTCCCCCAGTTCCTGCTTCGGGGCATCCTCCCGATGTGAAAGGCGATATGTCAAAAGCAAGGATTATTATTCTTGCAGGAGCAAATACCGGCATGCAAAAATAGTTTGAATGGCCTCCTGCTGGTTGTATGTTTTTAAGGTTCCCATTTCTCTGTTTCTTTTTCCCAAACACTTTGAAATGAAAATCAGTAAAATAACTCAGTAATTGTATACACGGAATACCATGGGGCTCCCAGTAGGAGAGCACATTAAAACAACCCTTGATTGGAAACTCCACAACTGAGCGATTTTCATTTTTTTGAATAGAGACAAAAGCTGTGAAGGTTAAGGGCTGACACGACAGAGGTTTTCCAGATTATGAAGGAGTTATGACAGTTATAGGTAATTTCAAATTTTCAATTATCAAATTTAAGACAATCACAAAAAGAGTTAAAAGATAAGATTTTATGCAGCGAGTGGCTGGAATGTGGTTTTCTCTGCCAGAAGCCACTGAAGCTGAGGGCCATCAATTGCTTTAAAAGGGAACGAGATCGATTTGTGGATGGCTCACATGGAGAATAACACCAGCACAGACTTGACACTCCAAATGGTCTGTTTCTGCGATTCTATAATTATGACTGGATACAATATGCTTCCAACACTATTCCAACACGCTGGCCCACAAAACACACAGTCACTGAACTTTAAATATATCTGACTTCTGGATGTCCTCCTAACATGAAAGACTTTTTACACCAAATGTGAGGATCATCATCATCATCTCTTGTGGTATGTGGTTGGGTTTCCTCTTCGTTTAAAGTTGGTGTTATGTCAGAAGCCAAGTGCTAAATAAAAAATAATAATAATCATTGCATTTCACGATAACAGCGTCTTTCATGTCAGGAAGACGTCTCAAAGTGCTTCATAGGATTCATTGCAAAAGTGTAACGACTGTGTCGTTTTGCAGGTGAACGCAGCAGCTAATTTGCGTACTCCAATGTCCCACAAACATCGATGGAATAAAAGACAAGAAAATAGATTATTTCAACTGGTCAGTGAGTCAGTAACCAAAGGGACCAATTTGAGATTCTCTTTAAATTGATATCCTTTTATTTTAAATTGCTAGAACATAAAGTGCCTAGTTAAAAATATACCGCGGTATTTTTAGTTACACAGCAAATATTCGTTGAGAATCTGCATAAAAGGCCACGTACATCAGTTTTTAAAGAACTCCATAACCGTCACCCAATTATGAACATAGCTTGATGCTCCTTTGCACTAATGAGAATCAGAAAGTGCTGGAATTCCACAGCAAGACTATGAAAGACTATACCTAACAGCCAACTCTCAATAAGAAGAGCTTGGACCTTGACACTTGCCATCCGCAATTACAGTTTTAATAATCCTTGCATTTGATATAGCGCTTTTCACGTCTTCTCGACGTCTCAAAGCGCTTCACAGAATAGACTGTAAAGTGAATTGACAGTATATTTGTGGTTAGAGAGCTTTTATGCATTTCACCCACAAAATACACAGTCACTACACTCTACAGTATGTGCTGTGAAGCGCTTTGAGAGTCTCAACAATGTGATAAGGCGTTATGTCAAATGCAAGGATTATTATTATATTATACTACAGATTTCAGCTACAAAAATAATTATTTTTAAAAAATGCAATGAGGGGTGCAAGTAGGAATTCAGGAGCCAGGGTAATGTCCAACCTTTTAAATAGTGTTTGAGTGTGTGTTGGACATGCACAAATATAAACTGAACACTGGAAATTTGCCTACGAAGTTGCTCAACAGCATCATTACTAATAATAAGAATCCCTACATTTGGTATAGCACCTTTCATGTTGGGAGGATGTCCCAAAGTGCTTCCCAGGATATACTGGGTGTTTTGCAGGCGAACACAGCAGCCAATTTGCACAATGTCCCATACACAGCCATGAAGTGAGTGACCAATTTTATTTGGGCGATTGTTGACTGGACACCAGGAGAAACTCCCTTCTCTTTTCGATTAGTGCCGTGGGATCTTTAATGTCCTCCAGGGACCTCTGTTTTAACATCTCATCTGAAGGGCATCACCTCTGGGAATCTGTTGCATGTCTCCAGGGCTGCACTGGAGCGAGCGTCAGCCTTATCAATGAGTGAGCAGGTCGACCTCAATTTGCCCGCGTGGATTTGAGTAGAGAACCTACACGGGTGTAAAGCTAGCAATCACTTGCATGTGCATGTTAACAATCTGTAATGAATAGATCTTTCGTTAGCTCACAGCGCTCACAATGGAGCATTGCAATTCAGGTCAGCCGTCAGCCTCGAGCCCTCAATCTCAGAGCTTGCCAAGCTTCCCGCATCTCAGGAGAGCTTCCCTCATTCTTCTCCAACAATCTAATAGGAACCAAGGATTCCAGCCCCATTAATCTCCTGCATGACAATTCTCAACTCTTGGCAGCTCAATATTACTCAAAATGAGCCTTCGCGTCCAGTGAACGATATCCAAAGCTCGAGACCCGTCTCTGTGTAAACGCACCGCTTGTTTTCCCCCCTACCCTGGCTCTCCAAACTGCACGAAAAGGTCAAGTGTGTTGCAGGACCTTACAACTATTTTCCCAGACCTCGGCGTGCCAAACGATACACAAAGCTGAAGTATGTCATCGACTCTGCAATATTAGACGGATTGAACAAGATGACAAGTTTATTTTCCCTTCGTATTTTTCAGTCGTGGGGAGGCACGGACACGCCCGGCCCAAATGTCGTGCATTGCCTGGAGATGAGGGCGATGATCAGTTATTCGGTAATCTTCATGCGTTCCCTTAAGAAAACAGCGCTTGCATTCCTGCTCAATCACTAGACTTCCCCGTGGACCAAACAGTCCTACTTCTTCTTCCAGTTGAGTAAACAGATGGAGTGGGCTGTCACAGCTTTGCACCACACAATATTTCTAAACCAGCAGAACTCAGGGGTGGTATAAATGATTAAACACTCCTATGTGCCACGACTCCGATCACTGCATTGCCATTTTCATCATAATTCAGAAAGCTAAATGGGGTTTAGTCCCTGCCATGTGAGAAGTGCAACACTCCCCCTTAAAGATGTCAGCTTGAAAATTATTATCCACAGCGGCACTAAGTACAGTGTATAATAATCCAAAGAATCTGTAAACACGGACTGTCCCCTCTCTCCCTCTCTCTTTTTCCCAAATAAAAAAATAATTTATTGGAACGATTTCTTTGTTCTGTTCATTTTAATTTACGATGAAACTGTTCTCAGACCACAAGGATAGCTGAGCTTGCCAGAGCTCCGTGACTCAGAGCACATCAGGGTTCTGAGAATCCGAGAATGGGGCAAACATAATTTACAGCTCACATCATAACTTTTAACACCATCCAAAGATTTATATTAGCGACGAATGTTTAGCCCTCATTTGTGATCAGATACAAAACACGGTCTCTAAACACTTGTCCAATGTAAACTTACAAACGCTGGCTGACCCAAGAGTTCAGCATTCTGCCAATCAAAAACAGATTGATTCCTTGCAAAGTATTTTTTTTACAAAAAAAACAACTTCAAGTAAATGAGGAAACAGGCTGCTCCATGGCCGCTGGACCAAACAGACCAGAAGGTTGTAGGTTCATTTCCCAAGTGGCTCAAATGAGTTAGGGACATAGGGACAGGAGTAGGCCATTCAGCCACTCAAGCCTGTTCAGCCATTCTATTAGATCATGGGTGATCTGTACCTCGACTCCATTGACTCATCTTTGCTCCATATCCCTCGATACCCTTACCTAACAGAAACCTATCCACCTCAGTCTTGAAAATTTCAAGTTACCAGATCTTGGTTAAGGCCAAGTTGGGAGGATGTCCCATTATTATTATTATTATTATTATTATTATTATTATTATTATTATTATTATGATGATGCTGGATGGTCCTGACATGGCACCCGAGCTGGGGTTGGGAGTTGAGGGCGGTGGGAGCCGAGGGGGGGGGGGGTGGGGAGAGGAAAGATGACCGAAGGCGCAGTCGAAGAGGAAGGTCTTGACAAAGAACTTGAAAGAGTGAGGGAGGGGGCAAAACACCTAAGGTAGAGAATGGTAAAAAGTCTAGTGCAGTGAACTTCTTCCCGTTCAATGATTGGATACCGTTTGTGGAGGCTTATGCAATCAATCTTGGATGTACTTTAGTTCAATCTCAATCATACTTTTTCTGGCCATGAATTTGGGAATATTTCAGCTATCCCCAATTTAAGTAAATAACGTCCAATTTTACCAAGCATCTGCCTGTCCACTGACCAACTTTGTCTACGATCTCACCCTATCTTACCTCTGGGAACTCCTTCAATCCTGCCGCCCTAGTTGTTCACTTTGCACAGCCTGTGCTGTCCCTACCGCCAACAGTAAACAAGCTTTCATAAGAAGGACTTCCCAAATTGCTTCACAGGATACACTGTAAAGTGGCTGTGTGTTTTGCGGGCAAGAGAAGAAAACCTCCCTTGCCTTTTCAAGTGGAAGCAATTTTTAACGTCCACCTTAACAAGCAGGCAGGATGTTGGTTTATCGTCTCATCCAAAGGACGGCACCTCCAACAATACAGCACCCTCCGCAGCACTGCATCTAAATGTGTCAGCTTAGACTGTGAGAGGTCCAAGTTCCAACACGTGGCTTAAACCCACAAACCTCTGACTCAGAGGCGAGAGTGCTACCAATTGAGCCAGGCTGCCTGATACACATATTGTAATTGCTAACGAAAAACCAATACGGTTCTCATTGATGGAAGTTAAGATTTACCTCTGTGGTGGTGCCAATATCTGCCGAAGGGCTACAGGTGCTGGCATCCGGGGGTGCTGTGCTGACACTGCTCCTCACCGGTGACCCCGGCAAGGGTCCCACCACTGGCTCAGGATACACGGATGCCTGACGCAATATGCCTTTCTTCTGTATTTTATCCCAGGCATTGTTCATGCTGTGTGCCAGCTCATACAACAGCTGAACCTAATAAGGAGAGAGAGAAAATATAAAAACAAGCAAATAAAAAGAATCCCTACATTTAACATGGGACCTTTCACATCTGGAGGACACCTCAAAGTGCTTCACATGATATGCTGTAAAGTGTAATAAATACGTATTGTATAGGCGAATGAGGCAGACAATTTGCATGCAGCGACGTCCCATAAACAGCCATAAAGTGAATGACCAAATTTATTTGTGTGTGTGTGTCGAGGATTGTTGGCCAGGACACCAAATAATAATAATCCTTGCATTTGATATAGCGCTTTTCAAGTCTTCTAAACATCCCAAAGCGCTTCACAGAATATACTGTAAAGTGAATTGACTGTATATTTGTGGGCGAACGCGGCAGCCAATTGCGCACAGCAGTGTCCCACAAACAGTCGTGGATTGAAAATGACCAATTTATTATTGTTTTGTTTTTTTGGAGGGATTATTAGGCGTGTGGAGTAAGGAAACTTGCGCAAAGTTTCGCCCTGCTCAGGCCTCTCACTTGCAAAGCGAGTGATCTAACCACTGAGCTACAGGACTCCACATAGCACCATGGGATCTTTAACACCCATCGAAACAGGCAGAGAGGACCACAGTTGAACGTGCAAAGCCAAGCAAAGCACCTGCTTACACGTATGTTCGTACACATATTTGAAGAGGTGTGATTTGAGGAGGAATTTAAAGACAGAAAGAGAGGGAGCGAGACAGAGTAGTAGAGGAAGGGAGTTCTGGAAATCAGGGGTCGAAATCAGGGTCCACCTCTTCTGATTCCAACTGTCAGCTCAGGTGCAGATTGCTGTCCAACATTTTGCCCAGGTCGGGATTCAAACCCAGGTCTCTCACTTGTTGTTGTTGTTGCTCAGTGTCCCTCCCCACCTTGAATGTGGCAAATTTCTCTTCAACTGCCGTCAATAATAATAATAATAATCCTTGCATTTGATATAGCGCTTTTCACGTCTTCTAGACGTCTCAAAGCGCTTCACAGAACATACTGCAAAGTGAATTGACTGTATATTTGTGGGTGAAATGCGGCAGCCAATTGTGCACAGCAGTGTCCCACAAACAGTCGTGGATTGAAATGACCAATTTATTATTGTTTTTTTTCTTGAGGGATTATTATCAGGCGTGTGGAGTAAGGAAACTTGCCCGAGGTTTCACCCTGCCAGGAATCGAACCCAAGTCTCTCGCTTGCAAAGCGAGTGCTTTAGCCACTGAGCTACAGGACTCCACAATGGGCAGAATGGCTTCCTTCTGTGCAATAAATCCGTATGGTTCCAGTCTGAAATTGCGATAAATTATTTGACAAATATTTCTTTACAAGATTGTTATTTAATGGAGTCTACAAGCAAGTTTCTGCCTTCCAGGGAGAAACAAATGGATTTGAGTACAAGGATGAAACAATAAATTAAGGTCTTGTCTGCCTGTTTAGGTGGACGTTAAAAATCCCATGGCACTACTGGAAAAGAGAAAGTAGTTTCTTCCAGTGATCTGGCCAGCAATCCCCCATAAAATTGGTCACTCACTCTATAGCTGTTCGTGGGGCTTTCCTATGTGCAAATTGGCTCCTGTGTTCGCCTACAAAATAAATGTATGCTTTACACTGAATCCTACTGAGTGCTTTGAGACATCTTCGTGACATGAAAGGCGATATAGTTTTAGGATTAAATGGCTTTGCCCCATCAGTTAGCCTAAATGGATTAGTCCTCAACCACACCACTAGATGGCAACTATCATTGAAACAAAACATGAGTGAGGTACAACAGCACTAGAAGGAAAACACCCATACAAAATATTCTTTCATCTACATTGCACTAATTGATATACTCCTCTGGTAAGCCTACCCCGGAGCAAGAGGGCTGGAGGAGGCCCGTAGATGTGATTCATGGTTTCAAACAGTCCCTCTTGTTTTGAGCAGAGAACAGACTCCAACAAATGCAGTGAAAGCCACATCAATTAACTTCTAAAATAACCGAATACTCGAGCACTGTATTACACGATATATCAGGTAATACAACAACTCCAGTCTGCTTCATGTTCCCCACTCGCTATCCTCCACCATCAATTTCAGCCATTTCACCCCCACTCTTCTGAAACTCTTCCACATAGTTCCCTTCCTCATTCTCATCTAAAATCTATCTAAAAAGCCAGTGCTCACTACTCTTCGACCAACTATCCCTATCTCAGAATCCCATTCCTTCTTTGCTAGTGCTTCTCCTATGAGAAAGGTGCTATGTAAGTGCAAACCATTGTCTATAGGGATATCGGTCACTCACTCCATGGCTATTTATGGGACACTGCTTTGCGCCAAACTGGATGCCATGTTTGCCCACAGAACATGCACAGTCGCACCAATTTACAGTAAGTTCTGTGAAGGGCTTTAATCCATTGCAATGATGTGATCAGGTAGGTATCAAATGCCTGGTAGATTATCTAAGGGTAGATTCCAACAAAGGAATACATCAATGAGCCCGATGCTTTGTGTGGGGGAGCAGGGGAATCGTCAATGATGGGAATGGCTTCAGATTGAAGGTGTGGAGTTATCGGGGTGGAAGAATATGACAGCAATTTTAGTTGATCGACTTTGGGGTCTCTTGGAGTCTCAATGCAGAACTTTCCCCCGGGGTCAGTGGCCAAAGTGAAGAAGGGGAGATCCTGCATGCAGCAGGATTGATAGATTGAATGGGCTTTTGTTGTCCCTGGTTTTCTAACGCTCTTTATGATTTGTGATAGTGACAGTCTTAAAGGGAAGAAAATAATGAAAATCAAAATAACAACAATAAGATTAATCCTTACACTGGTGTAGCACATTTCACGTCAGGAGGACATCTCAACAAGAACAACAAATTACATTTGTATAGCGTCTTTCACATCAGGAGGACGTCCCAAAAAGAAGGCTTTGAGGAAGTCTCAAAGCACTTCACAGGCTAGAAGTGAAAGTGAAGTGACGGTGTGTTTTTTTGCGGGCGAAAATCAACAACAATGCACTTCAGGTTTGCACACGAGAAGCACAGCAATACCATTACTTAGTTCACAAGAAATTGGGAACTTGGTAAGAAAATATGGTTCTCTGCCACATTGGTATTTGGGTGGAATCCTTCCATAGCCAAAACTGGACTCTTTTGACCAGATTTCATCATATCACAAACCGTTTGATGAAGCATTACTCACAGACAGTGTCATAAAATGGGGAAACAACTCTGTAACTTGAAACATCTGTACGTACAATACTGAATCAAAGAATGACTCAATGACTCCTCTCTAATCCCAAAAATTTGTTTTGTTCTTTGCTTCAGGATGTGAACATAACATGAAAAGGGCTGCATAAACACACTGCAACAAAAAATAACTGATGTGGGGACTGTGTCCAGTAGCTAAACTGGAATGACTGTGTTTAAAAACTGTAATAAGGCAACCAGTGCAGAAACATAGGTTAAATATTTAATAGCAGGAGTCACCAGTTTTTATTGCAATGAATGTTCCAGCACTCCTTGTGGACGAAGCAATAGTGTTCAGCATTCCATTATTTTTTTACACACATTAAAATGGCCATTTTGTTCTTATGTTTTCGTCCAGAAAATATACTATCAATCCACTTTACAGTATATTCTGTGAAGCGCTTTGGGACTTCTCAAAGACGTGATAAGGTCTATATCCAATGCAAGGATTATTATTATTATTATTATTTGGGTTACCTCCTCCTTCCCGTCAGCTCAACGTTAAACTCCACTACTGTTCAGCGCTTTGAGACACTGCCCCACATGAATGGTGCTATATAAATGCAAGTTGTTGTTGTTGCTGTTACAGGAGCCCTGCAAACTTAATAAAAGTTTAGAATCGGGAAAAGTAGATCACATCCATGTGAGCGAACTGATCCCAGTTCCTTACTCTCCTGCCACAACAGTCCTACTTATTTCTTCTGCTGAAGGTAAATGTAACAGATTCTAAAAATTCACCAGCCTCCGCAAAATATGCTCAGAAGACCACTGTGCTCCGACACAGCAACAGCTCACAATGTGGACTTGAATGAAATGGTGGTTACGGAGTTTTAACTGGAAGTTCAAGTTAAGAAAAAGGAACCCTGAATCACACAGGATAAAAGGGTCGCTTTGGAAGCCTCCACAGCTGCGTGCCATACCAAATATTTGGGTTTAAAAATAAAATTCAAATCTGGTGCTTTTGAGAATGTTCAGCCTCCAGGGATGTGAAGACCGTGAAGTTTCCCTCTCATGTGGGTTACACAGATGCAAAGTGCCAACGCTGTCAATCCAGCTCCGAAACACAGCTCCGACTCTACTCTGCTGTCAGAATGTCAGAACCAGCTTGAATTTTTTTTTAAAAAAATCAGGAACTCTTCAGAAGGTGTTACTGAAATGCACATTTCCATATTATTTTAAGCTCAAGCTGTTCAGTTAAAAACGTTTCATGGTTAGTGAAAAAAATGACACGTTGACAACTATTTTTTTCCCAAAGTTCTCGTGCGCAAAGGTCCAGTAACTTCTTCCAAGCGATGTAGTCAAATTAACAATTAATGACTACTGACTGGTTACAGCGGTGCTCGGCTATTTGTGTTGGTCGTGTTTACAGTTTAGTGAAGGAACTGCTGAAAGGAACAGGATGTTTACCGCGCAAAAAAAAAACTACATGCATTAGAAACACAAAGTACCAAAACATTCCCATTGTCAGGTCTGCATTATCAGAGATGCCGCCCTTCGGAGGTGACAATTAACCGAGGTCTCGTCTGCTTGTGGATGTTAAAGATCCCACAGCACGATCTGAAAAGATTGTGTCAGTGTCCTCGCCAACAATCTGCCAGATAAAATTTGGCCATTGATTTTACTTTCCTATTCACCAACAAGTACACAGTCACTACACTTTACAGTAATTTCTCTGCAGCACTTCAAGGCATCTCAACAATTTGATAAGGCGCCATACCAAATGCAAGGGCTTTTATTTTATTACAAAAAAAGTAAAATAACACAATTTCTGTTCTTACA